TTCTGAATTCCATATGGCCAAAGCATACTGTGCACAGGAATGCCAATCATTAGGTGCTCCATGCGGTGCAATTTCCAGGTAAATTGATATATATTCAGTATTATTATTATCTCCCAAAGGATAAAGCACAATACGCCTAGATTTTAGACTCATAAGAAAATATGATCATATGTATTTACATATAAATTAGATATAAATAAGCCTACCATCCCCAACCTCCAGCAATAAATCTAGGACTCTCCACCCTCCCTGCCCGATTTCTCCAACCAGTTATTCGCCACGTGTAATGCTGGAAATCTTCAATCTCATAATCGAGATGTGGCATTACATTATTTGCAAAGTTTTCATCTGCAGTATATGAATATAATTTAGTAACACGCAAAACGTTTATAAGGCATTATCTTAAAACTAGTTTTCAAACATACAATCTGTTACATCTAAATTTGACATTTCAATAGAATCTATTTTAAAAAGATCAATACGTATGCGTAAAAATTTATTAAGTTTATTACGTATTTCGAGAATTGCAAAAACCTAAATTAATACGTAATGCTCTTTATTTATACTGTAATGGTAGTTCATTTACTAGTTTCACAAATCGGAATATTCTCAAATTGTTTCTTATTTAGGGTTGTTTCGGTTCTACAAAAGACTGGACCGTAAAGTGTACCCTAAGCACAGGAAACAAAATGTGGCTAAAATTAGATTACAGTCACTTTCTGATTGGACAAAATCAATATTAAATGTAATAGCGATATGGCATACCTTAAATGTATGTCAGGTTGTGGCACATTAATTGGCCAATGTTACAATAATAAAATTATAAATTTTAATAAAATTGGGATGGCCGCGCGACGTAGTCGCGCTTAAACCAGGAATGTAATACAATTAAATGCTTTACGAAAGCTAACGCATCTTTGTTTTCCATTTTTTCAAATTTATTATTTTTAATTATTAATGAAAATAATAAAGGAATAAATTCCAAACGATGTAATACTAAATTGCACACTGTTAAGATCATTAACCCATCCACAATTGAAATCATAAACTACTCACCGTTAAAATAATTATGTTAAACTTAACCATCGGTTGTTAAAATCGTGAACTCATTTACTGTTGAAATCATTGTTAAAATCGTGAAACTACGCATTATTGAGATCACTTACATATCCAATATTGAAATCATGAATATATACATAATTAAATCCTAATTTACCCATGATTAAAAATCATTAACTTACCCACTATTAAAATCATGAGCCCACTCACTGTTAAAATTGTAATTCACACAATGCTGAGATCATTAAATCACAAATGCTAGAATCACGAACCCACTCATTGTTAAAATCAGAGTTTTCCCGCTGCTAAAACTATCAATTCATCAACTAATATCCACTTACTCATTGGAATCGTTTAATGAATTTAACTAGTCTATTTGTTTAAAGCATAGTATTGTTAGTAATATGCAAAGGATTAAATAAACTTTACTTACATTATTATATGGAGTAGTGAAATAATAATGTGATAATAATCAATCAGCACAAATATAAAGATATTAGATAAAGGTATTTAGCTTAAATTTATCATTATGTCTACAGACAAAATAAACGCAATAAAGATAATGAATGAGGAATGAATTGTTATCGTCAAAAAATGATTCTTATATGTTAAATTTACGAGAATGAGAAAAAAATTAAATAGGTCACCTTAAAAACTTCGATTAAATAAATGATGATTGTATTCACAAACTAAATCGACAGTGATAAAAGAAGGTAATAAGAGGTGAATAACTTAAATACATTAAAACAAATAATTCGATTGGTGCTGCTATCGCTATTAAAGAAATTGCTAAATCAGATGAATTTATTGAAAGACAATTGAAAACCATATGGAAATCTGTTCACTATCATTACAAGCTCTATTTTTGCCAGCTATATTGTTTCTCTAAAAAAATGTTATTGAAACCAAACTAATAACACAATCCAATTTTCCTATAAATTTAAGTATATAGAGAAACTGCCAAGGTGATTTCCATATAACTGCGAAAAGAATCAGTTTCATATAGCGTAAATGTTACTTATTTAAACTAAGCAGTCTTTGTACTAAGGCTTTAGCTGCAAAGCCTACAACCTATTTAACAAAGTTTCTTGCGCGATTATTGTAGATTTGGAGTCTAAGCCAAGGATCTTGCACTTCTACTATATCTGCAAAGCCTAACTAGTAAGGTTCTTGTACTTTTACTATATCTGCAGAGCCTAGCTGGTAAGATTCTTAAACTTCTACTATATTTGCAGGGCATAATTGGTAAGGCTACAGCAGCCTCAGAGCTAATTGCTACAATAACAAGGTCTTTGCAGTCTGACTTTACTTACCAATATACTCTACCTAACAAACCAGCTGCAAAATATTAAGCTTATTACTAAGTTGCTGCAAAATAGATTGGATGAAGTCATCCTCCTGCAAGATAAATAATAACAAAGAGAAAGATAACCACCTTCTACACCCTTTAATATACACATATCCTTTTCTTTTACCTTACTGA